CTAGCTATACACACAGGTCCCAGAAACCCCAGAGTAGTTTGCTAAATTAAGATTTTTTTCGCGTTTTGGAATTTTTCTTTTTCTTTGATCTATATATTTCAAAGCTCTGTAAAGTCTATCGACTTTACACATTATGAACTTGTTCCCTAATCATTTTTTCAACGATTAAAAAAAAATTAATTGAAATATGTCCATTTTTACGGAAGTTACGATAACAAATGGATGGGATCTGAGAGTATATCAAGAGAAAAAAGAAGTGTGTATAGTTAGGATTAAATTGTAAGTGAATTTTGTTTCACAATTTTTCAAATGCTTCGATAAATAACAGTCGCTTATATACAAGTCTTTAATTAACCGTGTGAGACGTGTAGTTATCAGTACTAAGCTAACAATCGCACGTGTTCTAATATCTGTCGCGTCTTGAAACGTAATACACACAACAGCTCGCGCCGCTGCTTGCTCACTCGAGCTTCGTCGCACGCATAGCAGTGACGTAAACTGTAAACAATAGCGCGCCCGCGGCGCCGTACGCGTCACAAGTTAACGGCCGGCGCGTGCCACCGTCAATTGTAAACAGAGTGCCAGATTTGATATCACATTTGTATCTAATTGAATACATTTCTATAAACTACATATTATATTGGCGTAGTATCGTAAAAAGACAGCAAGCAAATTAATGAAAGAGATAAACAAAATTTTTCTGGCAACACTAATTGGGTGCATTCAGAACATGACAATCGCTCACTGAGCGCTCAGTGAGCTCTTTCATCTATATTTTAGGATCTAATGAAATATTCCAGTCAGATGGAAAAACTCACTGAGCGCTTAGTAAGCGGTTGTCGTTCTGAATGCATCCATTGTAAGCAAGCATCTGTTTTTTACTTTTCAAAATAATCGTTAACATTTATCATGAGATTCCGCGCATTGCTCATTAATGTAATTTACTCCAGTGATCTGTACGTTATTTTGTGAAAGCATAAACGTAAAAACGGAAGAATTTAACTTTACTGTCAATATGTTTAAATTCACTTTTTCACTATTGTGTTTTACATGATTCGAGTTAAAAGTGTAAAAGTAAAAATAAAATCAAAATTGTGCAAAATTGTCTTTTATTGTTCGAAATGTGAGGCTTTTGAAGCGTAATAACAAAATTTGCACAAAAAGATAAAAATTTGTATTGTTTAAAATTGAATACTCATCATTAACAAAAGGATTAAAATATAAGAGAAAGACTCAAGCAAGATATATTTGAATATTTATTAAGATTTGCTATTCACAAAATAATTTACAATAGCAAATTTTTAACGAATTTTAGCTTCGTGTAACGTGAATTCTTTTGTGTTATTTTATTGTTTGAAATGTAATGCGTAATACGTGTAATACGATCATTGTAATTTGCGATTAATGAGAGTATCGTGCGATTGTCATTCTGATAATTAATTAGTTTCACGTCTAATCGTAACGATAATCGAGTTTCGCGTGTGCTGTGAATGTGTGTGAGCATCTGCACGTGTGTATATAATGAAGGAATCTGTCAGGAGCAGAAAGCTTGAAAGGCATGGAGTATCATAGGTGAGTAATTTATCTATCATTATTTGTTGCTAAAAAGATAATTATCGTTTAAATATGAAAGAACAATTTTCGCAATTCCCATTTATTATATCTCTTCTATTTTAAACAAAGAAATTGCTGAAATATCTGTTTCATATACAGTGAGAGCAAAAAGTATGAATACCAGGAATTTTTTTATAAAAAAAGTTTTATTTGTAAAAAATGAACATTAATTAGCAATTTTATACAATGAATATATTGTTTTAACATAAACAAACGAACTTTGCACGTATTCCTGATTTTAGAAGCTAAATTTCTCGACTATACGAATACTTTTTGAGCATCCAAACAATAGACTTTTTAATTTTCGCTTATTTTTCAGATGATATATTTTCTATAATTAATACACATCTTTTTGGTATATATAATTTTAAGAAACATATAGTCTATTTTACTATCTATGAATAAATTGTTAATTACTCAGCAAGAAATGATCGTCAATTAAAAATCGAATCGACGTCGAATTGGCGTCGAAATCATCGTATCGATATCGATTCGACATTAATTCAATGACTCATTTCTCACTAGATAATATTTACATTTTAAAAATAAAGTTTTTTTAAAAAATATTTTTTCTGTACAAAAATACTTTTTGCACTCACTGTAATACTTATTGCTTATTAAATCGTTAATGGCTCGGAATTTATAGAAATTAATTAATTGACTATGATGATTCCTGATCATTTATAAAGATCGTATTTGGAAGGATAGTATAAAGTAATTCGTGTCATTGAAATATATTCTTATTTTTGTCTAAATATTTTATCGTTAGATAATCATGTTTTTGCTAAATTACGCAAATTTAATAATATTTAAAACAACATTTCAAAAATTTTTAATAATAATATTATTGAAAAAGTAAAATTATTGATAGATTTTTCCTACCATAACGTTCACTTTATTGTGCGACGCGTAATATTACTTGACAATTGGTGATAAATGAATATTGATGTGCTATAAACGTGACATTTACGGCATCAATTATTGAGAAATTATTTATCGTACAATGGAAAATTTCTGTATCTCGATGACGCGTTTTACATCCGCTACATCCGTCTCGATTTTACGCTGAAAATCGACTTCGCGCAGAAAGAAATAAAATAACTATCTGATATTTGAAATAAAGCATCGCACGTATGACATAAAGCGTGATGATAAAAGCAAAATGGGAACAAAATGGTGTTCCATATTTATATTCAAAGAATACGATGAAAATGTTGCCTTCCGATTGATGGAAAAATGTAAAACGTTGAAAACTTATCGAGTCTCCATTTGGTGCATATAACAAAACAAACAGCTAGATTTTTCAGAGATTCTGTTACAATATTATTTTTATCTTTCAATTATGAGATTAACGCAATAGCACAATTAATATGTAATATTACTATCTAATCTATTTACATATGTTTATCTTTCATGATTATATACAATAGATACGTATAATTACATATAAATCCCTGTATTTATGAATATAACATGTTTTTAGATTATAGCTATCTTGCTAATAAAATATCTTAAAAATAATTTGGTATAAATTACAAAGCATTTTAATATAATTTATAAATTTAGAGAGCTTCCTTAAATTTTTTAACAAAAATTTTTATTATTTTTCAATTATCATTATATCTTATTAACAAAAATTTCTTAGAAGGCATAAATGAATTTAAAACATTATCTACAATAATAGAAGAAACGTATATTTTTTTCAAAACATAACTTTTAATTTTTGTAAAATCATTGAGATTTTCTCTCGAGTTTTAATCTTTTTCTTTGATCTTTTGTGCGGTTTCAGCGACTTATCTGAGTTACAGGCCGTTCTTCCGAAAACATGAATACATATAGGAAAGGGACGAGACTTAAGTTCTCGCAATTGACGCTTTCCGCTTGTGTAAACCTCGTTTAATTTTTATTAATTAAACTAAAAAATTCCGTTTAGCTTTTTGAGTCGTCCATTAAAAGTCAAAGTTTTATTACAATTCAATAATACATTATCATATTATACGTCATATTACAGTTACAACTTCCAATTGTCTAGAATAGAAAGTTTGTGTAAAATTAAAAAAAAACATGTATGAACTACAACTGTTTAATAATTGAAAATATATGTAATATATTTGATTAATATTGCATTTTAAATAAATCCATTACATAACAAGTTTGATTGAATATACAATTACGCATATTATAAATATCTTTGCTGATAAAAACAGGATAATCTGTAAAAGCGATAAATTTTGTGTATAAGAATATCAGATATGATGTAACATAAACAACGTTTGAAATTTCAAATATATTTACACGACTAATTATTCTTTTTTTTTAATTTATCATAAATAATATGATAATAATAATATCTGTTCGAACTGATATGACCATTTCGTATATTATTTCATATTTAACAATAATGATAATGCGTGTCCAATAAATGTATGAAGATATTATAAATAACAAGTCTAAATGTATGTATTGTTTGTTGCCAAATGCACTCTGTTAAAAAAACTGTCATGAAATCCCTTGATATATTTTATACGGATTTTTCTCGATGTTCTCCAAGTGGCGCGCAATTTTGCGAGACGGAAATGCTCCTCTAATGCACTCGCGCAATTATGAAATCTCGAGTCTCGTGCGGAAACGCGACGAGCAAGAAGCTCAAACGGGAAATCTCTGCTCTTCCAACAAAATTCCCTTTGTCCGAAGGAACGATGTAAGAAGTCGTGAGTGGCCGACTTGACAAATTATTGTCAGTCGCATTCGAGCCACTCTGCCGCTTCTTTCCCGTCAAACTGCGAAATGGGGACGTATATCAGAAGAAGGGCACTAGTAGACAGACACTTTCCCTCGGAAACGCCATCGTACTGAAATATTGGCGAACTTGCCATTTTAACAGTTATGATATTTCGGTCTTTCGTCTACGGAAGCTCGCGATATGAAATTTTCATTGATAAATAATGCAGTATATAAGCCAACTAATTATTTCTGTAGCAATCCTGTATAATGTGTGTGTGTGTGTGTGTGTGTGTGTGTGTGTGTGTGTGTGTGTGTGTGTGTGTGTATGTACAAGCAAATAATTAAAAATACCAAATATGAAAAAATGAAGAGATTTAAGGAAGAGAATGAGGTAAATTAATAATATACAGCGTGCTCATATGTGCGAGCAAATTCAGATAGGTGCGGCTTAGATTTAATATAGAATAAGTATTTATGGCATGCGTTATTAATAGAAAAAGAGTATATAATTGAGAATAGGATAATAATTTTAGATTTGTAAAATATATATATAAATATAAAACGGATCGCTTGAAGTGTGAACGTCATTGCGTATTCATACCGTTACCAATTTCGCGACGCTAAAATCACGAATTTGGTAACGGCATGCGTATGTAAATATATACGCAATGACGTTCACACGTCAAGCGGTCAAGCGGCCCATTTTATATTTTTATACACTTTTAATTAAAAATAACTTATTAAAGTATTAAAGTAACTATACAGTGAAATGTCGACATATAATACACAGTGCTAATGAAACTATAGATAAATAAATCGGTAAATGAGAACAATATACGTGTGTCATCTATCATGTGTCGAAAATATGAAAAGAAAATGACTTTTTGAGGCGATGACGTATCTTACATATAATTTTGACATTTCGGAATTTGCATCACGAATCTCTGTTCGTAGGACACGTAGAGGTAGAATAAACGTTTATTATATAATTCGGATCGTAACTATCGATTGAGCCCATATTCAGAATTCGATCAGTCCACAGCCTTTATTAAAAAAATCAATAATTTCGGATGCTCGCAACTCGCTGACTCGCGTAAAAGGGGCGATCTCGCCCACTTGGCGCGAGCCACTACCGTGTCTTTTGATATTACCAATGTTAAATAAAACCCTGAAAAATTAAAATTTCAGTTATGTGTATATTATATAAATATGTAATGAGGACTACACAATAATTATATTTCACGTCACTACTTAATTTTTGATTGATTAGTTTTATGATTTCATAATCACCACATTGATGAATGTCTGACACAATATTTAATTTCTAATATTTTACTTTGATGAAGATTAGAGAGAGAAATACATAGTAGGTAATAAACGCTACAATCGTTACAAAGAATCGTATAAATATAATATTTGTATTTATCTCTCTTCACCGATATAATAAATCTTATTTATATATGCTTTGACTTTTAACATTCTGCTTGTTAAATTTATATAATATTTTACACAATTTCTCCCTTTCTTTCTCTAACTTTTGTCAAAGTAAAATATAATATTAGAAATTAAATATTGTGTCAGACATTTATCAACATAGTGATGATGAAATCATAAAATAACTAATCAATCAAAAATTAAAATAGTGACACAAAATATAATTATCGTGTAGTCTCATTACATTCAGTTAACACGAGTGGATTAGCTTGTCACTCTTTCACGCGAAAGATTTAAAAAGACATTTATGAGCAGCGCCGCTATTGATGGTGAAAACGTGCCTTCAAGCCGAACCCCGCGTACAATGCCCGCCGTCTCTGTTTACTATTACTTAAGGCACTTGTCACGTACGGGAACTCGCATATATACGAAACACTGGCGTTTACACAGGATCTTTCGCTATTTACGCCATATAAATCTCGAAACATTGTGCTTTTCTTGGCTAGGAACCGAAAGTATCCAAATACGCCATCAGCGTTTGGATACGTTTGGCTTCTCCGCTTGTTCCAAAATCAAATGGCTTGCTTCATTTGGCTCTGATGGAGTGCATTTAAATTTATTTTATTCGAAAAAAATTTACGAAGGTACCTAAATAATCTATACTTAGAAAAAAATATCTTAACTATAAATATATATTTATTTGAATACTGCCAATTAAATATTTACTTACAATAAATAAATAAATATTTACTTAATAAGAAGAAGTAATTGTTAAATAAAATTAATGTTTTTACCAAATAAATATATTCTTATATTTAATAAATATTTAATTAGTACTATTAAAATGAATATTTATTGAAATTTAAGATATTTTTTTTCAGTGTAAGTAAAGTTATATCCCATTAACCTCCATCAATTAATTTAATTTACGTAGAGAGATATAATATTAATAATTAAATTACTGAAAGAGAAAAAAGTATTTTTAATATACATTTTATTTCACATTTTATTTTAACTGTTTTATTAGAATGTAAATTAATTCTTTATATTAAAAATTATAAATAATTCGTTTATTATTCGTTTATAAAATAATTTATTTTGCAGTGCATTTCGTAATGTATAAAATATACTTTTACCTCAAATTATGTGTAAAATTATAATACAAATAATTCTGATTATATAAAAATTATTATAATTGTGATAGAAATTCTGTAATAAAAATTAATCAAACAATTATTAATAAATATTACAGAATTAATATAATGAGTAAAAGTATCTCTATTGAATAATATCTTTCACGTATTAAATTTTATGCCTTTTTAATATTAAAAGTCTGACATAGTCGATTGATCTGAAGTTCGCATTGGCAGTTGAACGAAATTCATATAAACATGCTTGTTGAAATAGTTGAGGTAATCGAACTGCTTAATTTCCCTCTTTGCAAGTTGCCTTTGCTTTGCACGAACCGTTCGTTTCGTCACGATCCAAATTAATGTTCTATATTTAATAAATTATGTCATCTCAAAAAAGAAATCAATAATCATAATATTATATATTGAATATTCGATTTAACTGAGTCTCGTAATTTTTGTACTTGTATTACATTTTTATAAATAATTCTTTTTCTACCTTTATCATAAATGTTATCTTTTCATATTATTACAATACCATTTCAGAGGATATATTATCGTGTGACGTTGTTGTGTTGTGTGTGTGTGTGTGTGTGTGTGTGTGTGTGTTATAAATTATTTCGTACCATTGCTGGTGCTCCTGTCGATAGTGCCTTTATAACTCTCTATAATAGGATAACATTGACTCCAATATAATAATAGCCTGCGTTCGAGAAATGAAGCTATTATTAGACTTTGTTCGTCCGTTCCAGAATTTAGATCCAATTACGGTAAAAGCGTATCGCGCGCTATCGCCAGTCGCCACCACCATGGTCTCATCTTAAAATCGCATAAAACATTCAGAAGACCCGTCGAGGAAATAGTCCAGGAAACGTAGTTCCGAAAGTCATTGAATTATGAAGTGGGGACAATGGATTACAGGAGAAGGTTGGTTTCCGCGCCGGCTGCGAGCCGGATGAGAGACGCAAAACTTGCAAATCAGTTCAGGACATTCCGTTTTAATGCGTACCTTCTCTCGTGCACTCAAGAACGCGCGAATGAAGCTTAAATCATTTCAAAGGACACTTACGTTTCTCTAGTCAACCGAGATGATTTCTTCAACCGCAAAACGTCAGTAGACATTGTAGACAATGATAATGAGTCGATCTTGCATCCGAGCAGAATACTCAACACAGCGGAATTCTATTGAATTTTCAGTTTAAATTAGGATTCTGGCCTGAGAAGTCCTCACGAGCAATTCTCCGTCCAATTTCAGAAAAGTTTCACTCGGACTTTGTGATTTTTCCCCGTCGAATCACGTGGTTGATCCTGAATTTAATCACGTTGGTCATTTTGGGATGTGCAGTTTCCACATTTTTCACGACTTTAAGGTACTCTAGGAAAAGCGATTTGCTTAAAAAAATTGCAGATATCTACATATTTTCAAAATAAAGGATTATTAAAAATAATATTAAATAAATTTATTACGAATAATGCAAGTAGTAAAAAGCATTGATATTTTAATTATTGAGATGCATAATTGTTTTTATTTAGTTAATGCAGAAAATTATGATGCTTATAATCTAAAGTTTACAAATTTTTAAAAGAAATCGAACGGGATGTACTATGTTTCCGCTTGTAACGCTTCCTTTTGTACACTTTTGCGCTTTTGTTTATGTGCAAAGATATAACGAATTTTTCTTTTTAAATGTTTCATTTCTTGCAATATTACGAGTATTCGATCGAAATAATTTTCCGAAGAAAATGTCAGATTTTCTATCCGTCTTTTGTATTACTTTATTTTTTCTCGAAATTATTTCTTTGCCAAAAGAAAGTAAGAAATCTTCTTTTGGAAATGTTTCATTTATTCACAGTAGATTGGCAAAAATTTCTTCTCGAAGGAGAGGAGTAACATTTGATTGCATTTTTGCAAATTCTTTGACACCAATCTTCCGTGGTTTCTTTGACATGAATTTGCCTTGTCCAAGAAGATATCTCGGATTCCGGTTTAGAGAAATTTTCACATCGACGGTAGTTTTCCGCGAATTTGCATCTTTCGGTCGAGAACGCTAAATTCCTCTTAGGACGAATCTCGCGTTGAATCCGCGAAGAAATCCATTCAATCTGTTGCATGGCGTAACCTATGACTTTCCACGATTTATTTCATGCTCTTTCTCACAAGCAAAATCAAGATTTTCTTCCCTCTCGTGTCTGTCTCGTATAACTCGATGAAAGTCTGTGTCTTATGTGTTTAAATTATTTCACGTTTCACTTGCTCCAATTTCTCCGATTAACTTATCGTTAAAGAAACAATTTTTAAGTTGCAATAATTTTTAATAGACCTTAGATGTGTAATTGTTCAATAAAGTTGAAGAAGTCGATAAAGTTCCAAATGAAGCAAAACTGAAGAACTTTTTTGTGTCATAAAGAACAAACGTTCATCTGGTTGAACGTTTTTCCAACTATTCGCGCGATTACTTCTGGATTTTTTCTCCACAAAAAAATAGATAGGAACAGTCGTGGAATATTTCGGGATGTGACGTTTTATTATTTTTCCGATATCGAGTAACGCTTTACGTGTTGTCTTGCGGAAACATGTACGAGAATTTTTCTAATTGCCGTAACGCCAAATATTAGTTTTGGTTATATTTATTTTTCATACACGTCAAACCGCGAGAACATGAAAAATTTTGATAGTACGAGTATGTTATTATCTCATGTGGTTTTGTTTCAATATTTTCAATATTTTTTGAATGTTCGTTTTAGCGTTTAATCAGTATTTTTATTAATTTACTTTACATTCGTCAATACCATTTAAATTAACGTTACTATTTATTTTGCATAAAATTATGCGCTTTTGACAAATAAAACTGCGTATGATATATTTTATGAATTCAGATCAATCAAAATACTCTGTCAATCAGTTAAAATTAAACGTGTAACATTAAAGTTAAAAATAATATTATTGAGAACTTGATAGATAAATACAAATAAATACTGCGTAGTATAAGTAAATTGTCAATTACTTTAATGTATGTTTGTCAAATTAGTCCGCGTGCGAAAGCAAGGCTAACAAGATTCGCGCCAGGCAAATGATTTCCGGAAGTGACTCTGAAAATCCTTGTCGGGGGGCATCACCTCCGTGCCGGAAGGTTGATCCTTTGCGGTCAATCCGAGCGTGCATTTTCCAACTTGCGCGAAATATAACAAGAAAACAGAGCGCGCGTGCAACGGCGTCGCTCGTTTTTCGCTAGTTTGTCAGATGCTTTTTCATAATGGGATCAATATTTACTTGTAGGATTTAATTATATGAAGTTGCTGCTTGGAATGACAATTTGACGGACGTCTTTATTCAGCAAAAAGAATCCAGGTAAAAAAGTAGAAACGATCGAGGGAAGAAATGATAGGATTCATGCGATACAATTGTGATCCAATTCAATTACGAGACAGTATTAGCGCACAAGCTTACTGGTAGAAATCGATGTAATTGCACTCGTCCTTCGTGCTGGACTTTACCGAAAATTGGATTTCTTGTCGCCGCAAATCCTCCAACAGCTCTCACGACATCGTCGTTTAGTTCACCGTATCTTTAATTATCCGTTTCTGCGTTACCTCTTTGAGGCTTCTTCTGCAACATTTATAGTTAGCAACACGTTCGCATAAATAAAATTCAACAGAATCATATTAACTATTTATAATTTTAATTCAACAAAATTAAATCTAGCAAAAGTGTTATACACGTAATAACAATCTGTTTATATTTATATCTTAATAGAAACATAATATAAAAGTCATTAATATATGTATGTTTTAAACTAAAAAAATTTTTGTTTAAAAAATCTTGTATTTAAATCATACTACATCTGTGATTTCGTTGATGCTTATAACACTTTGAACTATACAAAATGTAAATAATTAACATTTTATACCAATTACTATTTACATTTCATATCGTTAAAACGTTGTAAACACTTTCAAATCGAAATTACACTTATGATACAATTTAAACAATTAGTTTACTCTAATAAACAACTTATACTATACAGAACTTGATACAGATTTTGATAGATATTCTTTAAAAAGCTTTACGAGTTTGTGGTAATGGTTTGCATAATTGAACTATAGTAATAAATGTAATAATAAAGTTAGATTAGCGATTTACTTATTTCCTTGTGCACAACAATCGATAGTATTATGATGTTGACTAATCAGTGTCTTCGATTTGCAAAGCAATGTCGAATGATTTGTAATTCATTTTGTTCTATCTCCTTGATGTAACTACAAATGGTGTATACATTGAAGTTAAACAATGATTCGTGAAAGCTCTTGGAACATCAAACGCAAACGAGGCAGGGATCCTAATGAAGCATCCTGCAGACTCGAGTATTCTACCGCATATTGTCTCCGCATTATGAGCACGCTCGCTTGTGTTTACGTTGGTTCATACACTTTGAAAGCAAGGAGCCACCTTTAATCATTTCTCCCGTACATCTTTAATCACTGTATCATTTAGTGCATCATTACTGTCATCTGTCATTGCGATCATATATTTTGTACAATTTAATAGTTGTAATGACATTTGCTTCATCCACTGAAGTACTCTTGACACATCATGGTTATTATTATTTGCAATGACATTAAAAATAATTTAAAGTCTTGTGTAAACTCTGCCTTTCTATGTTATTTTGATCTTTCTGGTGGCTGCGAATATCTTTTTCTGTCTTTCTGCCCGCACAATTATTTTTCTGGAACTAACAAGTCCGCATCTCTCTATTGATCCATCACCGTGCAGGAGAGATTATACCCATCGTCGAATCTTTCTCATCAAAACGTGGATTGCACATATCTTTACGCTTGCACGAGGATGCACACGCGATGCATTTCGTACATGATACAAGAAGAAGGACCTCTCGACAGGCAACGACCTCGAATTGAGCCTCGAATTCTTTTATCTTCAATCTCGCGAAAGAGAAATGCGAGCACTGTTACGTCGCAGAAAACTGAGAGAAAACTGACGATAAGAAAAAAAAGAATAAAAGAAAAAAAAAAAGAAAAATGGATAGCGAAAAATCGAGATGAGACGAGAGGAAAAGAATGAAATGTAAGAATGCGGATGTAAGGACTCAGCGGGATATCGTAAAATCGGGAAGATGTTGTCGACTGATCACGAGAGCGAGTCTCTCTTTCTGTCTTCCAGGCACAGCGGAGACAGACGCGGTACAAGCACTTTTGGCCCGTTACCTTCAGCGTCGTCTTCAAGGCTCTCAGCTGTCAACGCCACCACCTCCATCGGTCCTCTTCAATAACAATCATCGGGCCCACATCCGACAGGCCACTCAGAGAGGTCCACCCAGCAACAATCTTGTCTCGCGAAATGTCAGTGGCAATGATGGGGACCACCGTCCTGTCCTTGAGGATTACGAAGATTACGAGGACGACCTCGAGGGCTACGGGGACAGCGAGAAAAGCAGAACCAGATTCGATCTCTTGGCGGGTAAATCGCGATTCACCTTGAACAATATCTGTGATCGATAGGGAGAGGCTTGTCGTTCATGAGATTCTTTAATTGGAAATCAACGTTTTACTGTGGCAACCATCTCGTTTTCTTTCTCGAATAGGAAAAATAGATTTTATTCGTATGCGTATATGATGAAATGCGAGCACAAAGAAAAAAAAACGAGAAAGAAAGAATGCTTTTGTGCTAAAATGATATATCGTAATATCGGTGATAGATTGTTTTTTATAGATTGCGACTAGAAATAGAAAAATAGGAGAGAAATTATGCAATACTTTTGCATAATTTTTAAGATAAACGGTACTAATTTTTTTTAGAAGTAAAGAGTTAATATTGAAAAAATTCTTTGAATAATAATATATTGCTTCTTATTATTAAAAATTAACATAATTATTTAAAACGCATCCTGCTTAATAATTTAATTATTAATGACTTATAAAAATTTATGAAAAATTAATACTTTTCTTTGCAAAAAGCAAACTAAAATTTTGCGATATTTTATGTATATGGTGCAGATGGTGTAAAAAGACGCATCAGAAACACATTGACATAGATTTTGTTTTCTCAACAGCAGTGCAATAAAATTATCGTTGATCGTCTGTAATGCGATGACAGAGGTTTAGGGAAGCATGCATTGACGTCACGATGCTCTGCTTCTGTTCCGAGCTTGAGTTGCACTGAACCGTAGTGAATCGTTCAGGACGTACATGGGACTACACCAACAACACGCTCTAAATCGCATGTGTTATTACGACATGATTTTGTGATTGTCAACACTAACACGTCGATTTTTACTTTTTAATAAATTAACATAACTCCTATATATAATCAATAATTATAAGAATAATGTGAATATCGTAAAATAATATA